CTTTTCCTTTAGTTTCTTCTTGGCTCAGAACTAGCCACATCGTGCCTTTCTTACCTCTAGGGTCCTGCTAGGCCCTGACACTGCGTGTTGGTATTTGGGAAGGAGAGGCAGCCTATTAAATGTCCTAACCCCTTCCCCCAGCCCTTCCCAGAACCAGCCAAATGCTGTAAAACACTGGTAAACTCACGCAGTCTGCTGTGGTGAGGGTGTACCTGGTCCAGCCAGAGAGCCTGGGCTGCTCCCAATTTGGATTTGGAGGATTGGGGGGTGGGTAGGCAGGGGCTGGGCAGTGGGGATTTGAGGACCTGGTCCCATCTGAATCCTGTTGGGGAGCCCACCTCAGGGATCTGTCCATGAGCACGGTGGGTAACCTGCCCGGCAGTAGTCTTTTCAGACCCCAAAGGTAGGGCCCCTAGGCAAGAGGCTGGGGCTCCCAGGCCTGGAAACACCACCCTCCTGGGGTGTGTGACTTGGGAGGCCTTTCCTCACCCAGGCCTAGTTCCAGAGGCCAGCTGCTTTACAGGCGCGCTGAGAGGGTGGTGTGGACACCTCATGCTCCTCAGAGGCTGCGCTGAGCGGGGCGGCCCTGAGCCGCGCCAAGTGTAACAGTGTTGTGGCAGTGGCCTTCGGTCAGGCCCTGCCCTAGGTGGGGTTGTATGGGCACATAGGCATCCCACTTTTAGAGTTATTTGGAATATTTTATGAATGCTTGAGTTTTTGGTGCCTGGTATGTTCATAGTTTTACTCATTCTCAAGGGGTTAAATACTAATAACAGGCTCTTCATGCAGTGTCCCTTGACTGTCACTACCGTGATCTTGAGCATGAGTTCCTGGCTCTGTGGTTTTGAAGATATATTTAGGTAAAGTAGTCACCTAACAGGTGCCAGGTTTTGTGTTCCATTTGTTTGCCTCGAACATTGGCCTCTGTTTATGAAAGATAGGAGGGTGAAGAGACAAATATTGCAGGCTGTTAAGCCCCCCCCCTCACTCCCACCATTGACTGACTAGTCCCATGTTGCCTTTGTGGAAGGTGGGTCTTTAATCCCCCTCCAGTAGTTTTGAACACAGTACTTAAGGACCTCTGTGAAGAAGTGGGAGCTGTTCAGAGAAGTGGGGGAAAAGCAAAGGATCATCTTGCTGTTTGAATTTCTTATGTTGCATTTCTTTTAGCTCTAACTCAGAGTTTCGTCAGCCTGACTGGGTCATCTCAACGAATCTGCTTTAAATTCTCAGCTCTTCTGTGGCAGTCTTCGTCATTGGCATAGTAAAATGATGACTTTTCTCCCAAGACTTACTTATTAAATATCATCTTTTTAACTGGGGTGTTTAACTGAAGAAGGGTGCGCATAGATAGATCATCCATTCACCCGTGCCCCATGATGGCATTCTTACCTTTGAAATAAGGGTTACTGTCTGTGGCCTTGCTTTTCCCTCTGAATTTAATGGGAAAAGACAAGAAAGGCAGCTACCCCGTCTTCATTCATGGTCATTGGATTGTGTTTGCAGTTTCTTTGTACTGCATGTTTAGCAGTATGCCAGGCACTGGACTGAGTATGTGGCACCGTGATCCCCTTCAGTTTCCACAGCAAGCTTATCAGGTGCACATGATTCTCACCTGGAGTTTATAGAGACAGAAACAGAGGGGGTGGGGAGGGAGGATTCATACCTGGGTCTTCCTTGAATTCATAGCCTCGTCCTTGGTTCCTTTGTGCTCTAAAACCTTTCTAGAGCAGCTGAAATAGCATTTGTGTCAGGGCTGACGGGTGGTTTACACACACACACACACACACACACCCTTGATCTCTTCTGAGTAGACAGCCCTGAAAGAGCTCAGTGTTTACTGGGAACCAGTTCATAAGGTTGGCCCTGGCCTGCTCTTCTACCAGTTGCAGTTGTGATTTGGTGGTTTTCATACACTTTCTGAGATTGTGCTCGCCACTATCACCAGCTGGGCACTGCAAGTGACACAAAGTTCTAGAAGATACAACCCTTCCTTAAGGAACTTAGGCATAGTGGGGTCTAAATGATACACATCTCACCCCAGCAAAGGGCAGAACAAGGTGTGGAAAGAAAGGACCACAGGGTCTCAGGCTAGAGGCACACAGGCATTTGCAAGAAGAAAACCTTTCCATGTTCAAAGCTATCCAGGTATAGACAGGTTAGGTGGAGCAGCAGACAGACCCTGCCTTTGGAAGATAGGACCAGGGTTCCCCCTTGTAGCTTGGGAGCCAGGCAACTTGAACAGATCTGCCTGGTGGTCACTCAGGGTCAGAAAGGAGGACCATGTCCCCTCCTAAAACCAGGCAGCACTTAAAACTTCCTGTCCCTTTCTACCCTTCCAGCCCCCTTCACCATGCTATAGAGCTTTGACTGGACAGGAAAAAATCAAGTTGGTGAGGCTCAGGTACACAGAGTAACTCAGGCGTGGGCAGCTATCACAAAGCTCTGACTTTTGTTAAAATCCCCTTTACATGAGCATCTGAGAGGAAGACAGTGAGTTTTTACACCCCACACCCACGCACCCTGTCAGTCCTGATTGGAAGGTAGCTTGGGGTTGGTGCTTCTGTGCCCCACCAGCTCTGCGTTACAGATGCTCCTCCCTAACAGTGACAGTAATAACAAACCAGTAATCATGGTTAGTAATCACACCAAGCACTAGGTCTGTGCTAGCCCGCCCCATGGGTTCTCTAAGAACTAGGACCTGACCCGTGCTTAGAACTCATGTCTCCCAGCTTGTGACCACGTGGGTCTGCAGCCTGGGGCCTCCCTCTCTGGGCAGAAGAAGCACCCAGCTCTGCAGCTCTCTAGCAGACCCAGGGCTCAGTCCTGAGCCCCACCACTGAATGAGGCTCCTATGGAGATTTCCTGGGACTGGGGATCTGAACTAGTGACCAGCGTCCAGTGAGATGCTTTTACTCAGCCAAAATTGCTAACCACAAGCTTCGCTGCCCATCCTGAACCCTTCCTGTCTACATGATGGGTGCTGTGCACTTGCTTCCTTCCACTGCTTCTGGCCACCCTGTTCCCCTGGCACCTGACCGGTCCTCTGACCCTTTCATGACAGTCTTCTCTCTTTTGGGGCCTGCTTTCTTTTCATATTAAGGTGTATGTATCTTTCCAACCAAACAGAAACATCTAGAAGGTAGAGTCCCCCCATCCCCCTTTCTGTTTTCCCACCACTGTGGGAGCCAAGTTGTTCTTTCCTTCTCAAGTCCTAAGCAGAAGTGTTCTCTTAACCATCCTTAGTCCATGCCTGTGAGCTACCACTGCCACTGGCCTGGGCACAGCAGGCAGCCCTTTGGCCTGCAGGACAGGGCCTGCCCACTGCCTAAGGGAAACTTTCTGATTTCCCAAGCTCCCTCTGCTTTCTAGTCTTTTAACTTAATTATTTCAATTACAACATGGTAACCAACCCTCTGTGAGCAACTAGCTACCCTTTTTCTCTGAAAGAGGACTGTTGTGTACGGGAATTGGTACACCCGGCCTTTAGAATGTATCCCTTTGCTGTAATTCTTTCTAGATCATCTAGAACTAGACCATATTTTTCTTTACAAGCATAACCATGAAAAGTTAGAAACCCTTTAAAGGACGCCTTCTATACAATTAGCTGTGCTAAAAAAGCAGCCTTCCTGTATTACTCTGTACCTTCTTTGCCACTTATAAATAAATAAATAAATAAATATGAACATGGTACGAGCACTAACTGCCCAGTGGTCTCTGAACTCAAGAGGAGCTAGTGGGCAGCCCAGGAACCTGACTTCTTTTCTTTCAATGCAATTCCTTTTCCTTGATGTTAATGCAAGTTGTGCCTTCCTAAAAGTAATAAAAGGAAATGAAGACACGTTCTAAAATGAAACTTGACTCTAATCCATTCATCATCTAATACTAGCCTCTTTATCTTCGCTGGTACCTAATCTGGTTAAATGTCCCTGTTGTAGGATTTTAGTGAAAATCCTCTACTGGGAATAGGGTTTTTTGCAATTGGATTACTCTCAGTAAATGGCCCAGTAGTTCGCTTGTTTCAGCTTAATTTTTTCTTTGTGATCTTGCTGGGCTGAGTTATAGCGCAGCGTAGAGGGAAGGGACTGCACTGAGCCCAGGGTAGGAGAAGAGGAAAGTGATTGGAAAAGCTTAGAGGTGGCAACTGGAAACATATTTAAAATGCTTTTTTCCCTCTTTGTTTCTTTCCATTGATCCACCCTGCCCAAACATGAAACTACTTGTACTTTGTTTGCTAGAACTGCCCACTTCTAAAATGCACGCCTTTTATTAGCCCAATTCATCATCATCCAGTTAATTTATTAGTGGTCCCTGATGACTTCCTAATGAAATTCCTAATGTATCCGGGCTGCTGTAATCTGCATAAAATATGCAGGTGCTTGCCAAGCAGTTTAGAGCTTTCTGGTAAAGTTCACACTCCCACCCCAAGCCCCAAGCTGCCAGTGTAGTGAGGCTTTTCCTCCAGGCCAGGCAGGCCCACAGCTTGCCCGCTGTTCCTGAGCGCGGGAGGGGTTCTGAGGTGGAGAGGGAGGCTGGCTGGGTGGGATCCGGGCCCTGCCGGGTTTCTTGTAAATGAAGGTTTCCCTGGCAAGGCCCCATGAAGCCTGCCTGCCTCCTAGAGGTCCCACCACGGGTCTTTGAGGCAGGAGCTTTCCCCCCTATGTGCAGGAGTGCAGTGGGCCTGGGAGATTAAAGCACCCACTTCCGACTCACCTGCAGTCGGGAAAAGTGCATACCTTCAGGCTCCATGATGGGTGGTAACAGAGGAGGGATTTGAAAAGCCAATCTTGGCAGGGAGGTGAAAACCGAGGTGCAGCAACTGGGAGCACCATCTTAAAACTGTCTCTTTCTTTTAAATGGATTGGGGAGCTGGGGTGCAGGCAGACTTGAGTGTCGCTCACACAGCCAAGGTGGGCACCAGCAGCAGGGGGACCATGGGCCCTGAGCCCTGCAGTCTAGGGCTGCCAGGCTGACGGGATCTCTGTTCTTTGCCTCCACAGTCGAACAAAGTGCCGGTGGTGCAGCATCCTCACCATGTCCACCCGCTCACACCTCTCATCACCTACAGCAATGAGCACTTCACCCCGGGAAACCCCCCTCCACACTTACCAGCCGACGTAGATCCCAAAACAGGTAGGTCCAGCCCGTGGTGTTGTAGGGGCTGCAGCTCCCCTCCTGGTGGCTGCAGAGGGAGGCCTTTGGGGGAAACCAAAGCCTGGTGAGGGTGTGGCTTTCCTCCACCCCTGTGAAGAGATCCATCTGAAGGCAAGAAGAACTTAGAGCTCTGAGCACCCCTGAAGGGGGCTGTCTTGAGAACTTGGCTGTGAGTCCCTTTGCAGGAGTGACTGTAACTCCAAGAATCTCAAACAGACTTGGGAGAATCTTCACAGCTCCTTCTCAGCATCTTGGTGGGGACGGGGGATAACACCTAACTGCATGGCGCCTGTGAGCTCTGATCACCTGGCAGGGACTTGCTGGTGCCAAGCATTTGCTGGTTCATTTGGGTCTCCTCCCCTCCAGTAGGGGGCACTGTCAAGCCCACTTAACAGATGGGGAACTAACTGGAGCCCAGGGAAGGAAGTTGCATCATTTTGTCACAGAACCACCAATGAGACATCAGGCGGGAGCTGCCAGTTGTCCTTCAACCTTTGCCACGCATCCCCTGCTCCTATCCCGCTAGTTCATGGACTCGTTCTCCCCCAAGGGGAGGAGGAGAGATAGTCAAGTTACTAGCCCTTCCTACAGCCAGGCCCAAGACCAGCAGGCAGCCACAGCGGGGTGGTCTTGAGAGAGCAGCCAAGGCCAGTGTGTTTCTTTGAGGCTGGGCATTGTCCTGGCCAGGGGCTTCTCTGTACTGCTGGTCAGTAGAAAGGATGCTTTGTGGTGCATATTCCGTGGCACTTGTCAGGGTGTTGTTGATGTAGGTTGAGGTGGGCTGCCTGGAGGAGACAGCCTTTGTTGCTCTCAGTGAAGCCGCACGTGAGTTGGCCTCACTTGGCTGTGAGCCGGACCCAGCCTGGTGCTTGCGTGGCTGGGGGAAATGGCCAGGCCTTCTGGCCCCCACCCGCAGGCTCTGCAAGGGAATGGTAGCCTCAAAGTCTCATGTAAATGATGGCGGTACAGGGAATAGCTTTTAAATGGTTATCGTAAAACATATGATTAACGTCTGTGAACTGTTTACTTTTCCTCTGTGAACATTCTTTCAAGTGCGCAAATGGTTCAGGGTAGGGTCCAAGCCTAGCTAATCTGTTTGGTTTTTGTAATAGAGAGAAAGCAACGTCTGCATGAAAATGTCACCCAGGGAGACTACATGTGCAGATTAAAAGCTTCCGGAACGAATTTTTAAAAAATGAAATAGTTTTCATCCGTGAGCATGCAGCCCATTCTTTCCAGTGCTCCCTTCAGTTTGTCTCTGTGAGAACTGCTCCTAGCACTCCTCCTTCCTGAGCCCCTCAAGAATGGGGAGTGTGTGGTGGCATTTGTGCAGTGGGCAGGTTCTGGGCCTTGTGGTCCACAAAGTGCCCAGGCAGCAAGTGGGGCCAGTGCCCCCACCAATGCCATCCTCTAGGTCGGGCTTCCAGAGTCGAGCACATCAGGCCTCCCACGTCTCCCTGCCTGTGCAGTCCCGACTGTCCCACAGATAAGACACCAAATGGCACACGGTAGTTCTGCAGCTCACCTCTGGAGGAGGTACCTTTTGGGAAAGAAAGCAGAGTAACTTTCCCATCCATAGCCAAATAGGTGCTAGAGATCAGAGGGGTAACTCCCATGTAGAAAAGTTGGTGAAATTAGAAGGGACGAGGGATAAGTGCTGAGGGCAAAGGGAATTTATTTTACTTGTTCACCTTCTTGCCAAGCACTTCAGGATTTTTTTGTTTGGTTGGCTTGAAACAATCACATTAAGTATTCGAAGCCAGGATAGCTAAAGTGGCATTTTCAAGTCTGTCTGAGAGGAGCCAATATACCAGTCCATCTAGAACGAGATAACTAATCATTTCACTTGAGACTGTGAGCAAAAAATGAGATTTAAAACTAGCTAGGACACCTACAAATCAGAATCATGAATGAGCTCATGAAAGGATTCCAGAAGAGATGCTTCTGTTGCTCTTGTCTCTATTTCTGTCTCCCAACAGCTGCCCTTTCTCTCTCTCCCTTCTGAAATTCTGCTTCTCTTTCCAGGAATCCCACGGCCTCCACACCCTCCAGATATATCTCCATATTACCCACTATCGCCCGGCACCGTAGGACAAATCCCCCATCCGCTAGGATGGTTAGTACCACAGTAAGGAGTTCCATTTTTTAATTTCCTTTTTGTTCTGTACGTGGGCACGCTTCTTATTTCGTCTGTGCATGTGTGCATGTGTTTGAGAGCAAGCCTAGTGCCGGGCATGGGGGAGATGCTGCCGAGATGGGAATGTGGAGGAATCTAGAGCCATTCTGATGAGTTACGGTGACACTTGACCTCTGGAGCCCATCATCCCCAAAGACTCTATGGACAGAGATGCCTTCAAGATCCTGGAGAGTGGCTTCTGCGCAGGGGAGCTGGTCGTGGCTTCTTTGCTCAGGGCAGCCCTAGCTGGCATGTGTCACTGGGTGTAGACCTCTCTTGCCAGTGTTGCCTGTGTAGGGGAGGGGAGTGGGAGTAGGACCAACCTAGGTGTGAAATCCCAGGGTAGGAGTGGTGTTATTGTCTCTGAGCCCCAGTCCTACCCCAACCATCACTCCTACAGTTGACAGTGGGAAGTTTCGTCTGTTGAAAGTCTCGTGTTACTCAGCCAGCACCTCTCTGAGAGTCTTTGCATGGCGCATGCTTTGCCCAGCTAGGAAATGTGGGAGGGACAGCTTGCAGCCTCACCATGGTGGGTCGTTCAGGGCCTTTCTGCCTGTCTAAATAATTTAACTGCCTTCTACAATTTAAAGAAATAATTTGAGGGCTGGGGATTTAGCTTAGTGGTTTCAGCACCTGCCCACAAGCGCAAGGTCCCGAGTTCGATCCCTTGTACCAAAAAAGAAAAAAGAAATAATTTGACTTAAAATCACAGCAGAAAGGCCTTTAAGGCAGGAGCCTACTGTGCGTGTGTGTGCGTGTGTGTGCATGCACATGTGTGTCCACAAGCATGCGTGTAATGTATTGTGATTGTCTCTCTGTATATATTTCTCCATGTTTGTCAGTGACCTTGTGTCTAGAAAACACAGGACAATGTGTTGCATGCCAAAATAAACAAATCTGAGTAAAGATCTAAAATGCCAGTCTTTGGGAAGACAGCCTTTCATATACCCTTAAGGAAGATAAAATTTTGGAGTGTGGTCTACTCCCTAACTTTCCTCTTACTTTTTTAGGTAAACAGAAAAAGGAAACCCAGATTGGATAATATGGTACTTGTACCAAATGCCAGTCCTGGGTGTATCTTTTCCTTGGGCTTCTTTTACTTTTGTTAGTTTTTAGGATAGACGTGAGCATGAGCTTGAGACTCATTTCTTCCTCAATAGATGGGACCACCCCTTGACAGTTCTCAGTCACCATTTGCCCCATTTGGCTAGTGGGGAGACACCAAAGCCTAGATAAAAAGAATAGCCAACTCAGACAGCCCTGTGTCAGGAAAAGTTGTGTGTCTTTCATGGGGATGCTATTTTGCATGTTGCTGTATTTTTTAATTATTGTAATGAGGTGTGATTGTCTATTGGTTACCCACAATTCTTCTTGGGGACTCTCCCCCCCTGTAACTCTTGTCAACACTTGTTAATTTGACAAAAGGCTACAAATTAAGCTCTGTTAATTTAATGTTTTCTCACCGAGATCTAAATACCGAAAGAGGCCCAAAGCGCAACTGAAGTCCTTTGATTCACTGTACTTTATTTTGGTATAAATTTACATTCATTATTGTTTTCCTTTGGATGTGTAGCCCTCAATTAGTGTGATGGCTCCATTAAAGCAAGCGAGACTTCGCCTTTAATTATTACAACAAAACACCTAGTTTCAGCTTGGGGAGAGGGTCTCTATTGACATAAGCAGAGGTTATAAAATTTAATTAGCCATTCCTATCAGATTTATGGCATTCAAATTGTTCTGTGTTTCTTCCCTTTGATCCTTCCTGTACAATCCCCAAGATTTTTGTTATGATCAAATGAGAATAAAGCTTACTATGCAGAGAGAACTTTTCCCTGTTCTTCTTTTCCTTATCCCCACCCCCATCCTTGCTTCCAGCCTCTCACTTTGTCCCCCTTCTTTGTAGGCAAGGTCAACCAGTGTACCCAATCACGACAGGAGGATTCAGACACCCTTACCCCACAGCACTGACCGTCAACGCGTCCATGTCCAGGTGAGTTCAAGAACCAAGGCCTTCAACCTCCAGAAAGCCCTCTAGGTGGGCATCAGGCCACCCAGGGCCTGTGGCTCCATGAGGTTTGAATAGATAAGGCTGATGTGGCACAGGCTTTGCTCCTAGAAAATCCTGAACCCTTGGCTGAGCTTCCAAGGTGAGTGCTGCCTTCGTAGGCTGGGTTTTTATGAGCCAATCGGTGGAGCAATATATCTTCAGAAATGATAAATGGTAAGAAAAAGCAATTAGGAAGAACATGAGGAGCATTTTAAAGTATCATTTTCCTGTTACCCTGAATTGGATAAGAAAAAGGGGGTATTAAGATAGAAATGGTTTGAAGCAAGATTGTTAATCTTGGCAAGATTCAGATTCTGATTGAGGGTCAACCAGAAAGCGAGGTGCACCCCCCACACCCCTCAGGTAGCACTGTCCAGGAGAGACTTACTGGGAGCCATGCGGGGACTTTGATGATTTCTAACAGCACTCTTTTAAAAAGGTCAAAAAGAAAAAGATAAAATTGTTCTCAGTGACATGTTTTACTCAGTCCAGTCCAGTATGGCCAAAATATTATCATTTCACCGTGGTATCACTGCAACAACTATGAATGGAATTTTACCCTTTTTCATAGTGGTTTTTGTAATCTGATGTGTATCTTATGCTCACAGCACATCTCAGTAGCCACACATACCTGGGGGCTGCCATATTGGCCTGTGCAGCTCTAAATCTTTGAAAGTTCTAAAGAAAAAGTATGTGTATATAACATGTATATACGTTTATATTTGATCACATATATACAACATACACACTCCCCGTGTTCTTGTTTTGTTCCCTCTAATTAATTCTGGCTAATTTTTCAGTGACTGCTAGTTTATTTACAAACTGGTTGGCAGCAGTATGTTTAAGTAGTCACTAATTGCTCCTAATGATAGTTTTATTTTCTGTTCATCTGATTTTCAGTCAAGTTAATTAAATCGGTGGAGATTTAGACTTTCCTGATGGTCTGAAACAACCAATCCATCTTGATGATGGCACCTAATTAAATTAGTGTGCACTACACAGCGAGGATGCTGTCCCTTGGCCTCTTTCCCCATTCTCTTTGGCCAACATGGGGAACCAAGACCAGGGAAAGGCTTGCAAAGCAAGCCACAGTGCCTCTTATCACCTCCGGAACTACAGTTTTGGCAGGGAGAGAAAGTGAGCTTCCCACCCATAGAGAAAAAGCAACTCTAGCGCATCTAGCATTTGTAATTATGCCATGGATATTAGATGATGATAAAGATCCAGTTCCCTTGTGGGATACATCATCTAAATTTCAAAAGCCACACCAATATTAGCTAGGTGGAGAAATGCTTTTTTGCATTCTTTGTCTAGGGGGAGGGGGAAGGTTGCGCTCATTAAATAATGTTGTCCTGGCCTCACAGAGCACAGGGCGGGGGGGGAGCCTCCTGGGGGGACAGCTGCTTCTGATCCATGGTTCGGCCTCCCCGTGTCCCAGCCCTTGTGTGCCGCACCTGATCACCTCCGCCCTTTGTTTACTCGGTGCCATCCCAGTGGTTGGAAGTGGTGACGTAACGGCGGGATAGGGATTGAGGTTAAGCTTATCGATTGAGTTATCATTAGGAGGTTAGTCGATGATTTATAGGTGGGCAGGGGGGCTGGAGGAAAGGGAGGCAGCAGTGTGAAGAAAGGTTAGGGGCACGAGGTGTGTGTGGGGGACACAGCTGATTCCCCAGGTAGGCTGTATAAAAGGTAGCTAGTTAAAAAACGTATACAGCAAATTAAATACATTATTGTGGTAATGGGGCGACAGAAGTATAGGTCTATTATACTTATAGCAGTTATAGCAAATGTAGGCAGCTTGCCCTGTTCCAGAACACCCTTTGATATTCATTCTATTCAGCAGCGGGGCCAGGACTTCTCAGAATTAAGTGATGGGTCATTATACTTTAAACACCATGGAGAAGCCTAGATTGGCAATTAAACAGCTCTTGCTGACACTCACTTGTGCCACCCTGTGACCCCCTTTAGATTGAGATGTTGGAGCTCCGGGCCCTCAGCCTGCTAAATTGGTGCAAGGCTCTTCTCCTGACGAGAGCGGGCTCTGAAATCTGCCGGCTTCAAAGGGAGCGAGATCATGTATAAACCATAATGTGGGTGCACCGTGGCTCACAAAAAATAAGGCAGGAAGAGATGAAATGTTACAAGTGCAAGGGGGAAAATGAGGGAATAATGACAAACCTAATGCAACTCAAAGCAGGATTGTTGCACGGGAAAATGCATCCTACTGCTTGTGCATAAAATCAAGGCCGGCAGATGACATCCAGTTAACAGAAACGTGTCAACAGCGAAGTAAAGCGTGAGTGAGGAAGAGAGAAGCCCCTGAGACAGCCAGAAACAAAAATTAGTTGTCCTTAACAAGTTAAGGTTCATCATTATATTCTGGCTTGGAGCCATAAAAGCAGACAGGGGTATATAATGAGCTGCTTAGAATTTTTAGGGTGTTTATTGCATTTCATGAAACAGTTGCTTACAGAAAGGAATTTCTTGCACAGAGGCATGCGGACAGGCCACGTGCGAAAGTCGGCATTGTGTCCTCTACTGTACGCTTTGCAGACGGATAACTGTGTAGAGGTAGAGGGACTTGGAAGTGTTTGTCCTGCGTGGCTGCACCCGAAATTTGTCCCCCTCCCAAAATGTACTCAAACTGTTGTCCTCCCCAGAGTCTGGCCCTCTCCCTCGTGTGTCCACACACATCCTCATTCTGCGGAAGGGAGCGGTGGATTTGAGGAACGTCAAGCACAGTAACAGCTGCCGCTCCACCCACCCCTTCACTTCACCCAAGGGCTGCCTAGAACATGTGTTCTCCACTTACATTTCCTCTAAGGCCTTCGAGCAGTGGGGAGGAACCAGGGTGTAACTTGGCAGCCTGCGGCCCGCCCGGGGTTCACTGTCTTCCCCCGTTTTTTGAGGGGAAGAGGATGAGGGTTGGTTATCCCCCCTCTTGTCTTTCCTGTTCTCTCTCCCTCCCCGCCACACACCTTAAAAGGACTCAGGTGGCCCTTTTTAAGGAACCGTGTTGTCACTACCACACGTCAGCACTGGTTCACCTTTGATCGCTGTGGGAAAGGGCCACCTCCGGATGGGATTTTTGAGTCAAGTGTTCACAGTGGTTCTAGGGACCCTATAAAAATCAACATTATTCATTGATATTTTTCCTATGTTGATCTGTGTAGCTTCGATTTGTTCCTTAATTTTTAAAATCATCTTTCAAATTAACACTTATTACATCATTTGGGCTAAATGGAAACTATGTCCAGTCCACTTATGGGAAGAACCTTGGAAATAAATACCGGATTCTTTTGAAGTAACTGTTGCGATAAATAGCATTAGGACCTCCAGTTCCCACTGGAATTGGCTGTCTGAAGAGTAAACTGTGGCTCCCCAGATTGGCCCATTCTGGTTTGGGTGTCTGGGAAGCAGCCACTGCCATGACCCAAGCTCCCCCTTTCATCTGGGCAGCCCCCTCTCTGGTCACTTGCACAGTCTTGCCAGAGTGGAGTGAGGATTGCAGTTTTGTGTTCTTTGAGATTTTGCCCTTCTTGCCCCTCACCCTACTTTTCTGTACAATGCACACCACTCGAATGTGTGGGAAGGGGCCCTCCTACCCAGTGCAAGTCACGAGGGCTCCAAGCAGAGTCAGAAAACGTGAGAGCCATTCGTCCAGTCCACTGTCACTTTGCAGATGGGCCAAGGGTAGTTTGAAATTAGCTGTTTCGTGCAAACTTGCATGGTGGGGAAATGTCAGTTCAGGGAGGGACACAATATATTTTAGAGAACTTTACCAGAAGTGAATGGTATTAGAGTAGAAAACACAAACTGTATTCTTTTGTTTATAATTTTTGATACTCATGTAGAAGGCAGACAACATCTTAAGTAACAGTGACATAGAAGTCCTAAATTTTGCAGTAGAAAAGACATAAGAAAATTTGAGAAATTTGAAGCTTCGTTTGAGTGTGTGCTTTTATTGCATTTTCCTATGAAATGATACAAACTTATTTAAAAATATCCATGACTTATGATGAGAACCAAGTAAGAACTATTTGAATTTTATCCTATCATTCTGCCTCATCCTCTCCTCTCCCTGTCAAATGATAGTCCCGACAACAAAAGAAAAAGAAAAATTTTATTGCCCTCCATCAACAGAATGAGGCCTAATGAGGCAGGCACAGCATTGTCAAAAATGTATGTATATTTCAGCCATGTTAATATTTTATTTAGCTGTCAATATACAACAAAAGATTTCACTTTTCATTCTAGAGCTGATCAGACCTTAGGAAATTGTCTTCTTAGATTCCACTAATAATAAAATAATAATAAATAATAATAATTAAAATAATAATAATAATAATAATAATAATAATAATAATAATAATAATAATAATGCCTCCATTATTATGAGCTTGTGAGCTTGTGATTTCCAGCAGGCAGGCCAAGCCCCCTTTTCTGCCCAAGTACATCAGTTGAATTCGTCTTTTGCTAAAGATGTTTAAAAATCGTAATGTCTCATGTCAGGAGCAATAACGAAGGGGAAGATTGGCTTTAATGACATTATGAGAATCATTATGTTTAATTTATCGCTAATTAATGCTGACAGGTTTCATAGGCCTTGCGTTGCTTTCATGTGAATGTTCTGTGCTCGATTTTTCTTGTTTTATTTTCTTTTTAAATTGTGTGTGCACATCCCTCCTCATTCATTCATTTTGATTCTGACAATTTACACAGCTTTCTGTCTTCTAGGTTCCCACCCCACATGGTCCCACCACATCATACTCTACACACAACCGGCATTCCCCATCCGGCCATAGTCACCCCAACAGTCAAACAGGAATCCTCCCAGAGTGACGTCGGCTCACTGCACAGCTCGTAAGTGCCGCCCCAGCTACCCCTTCCCTGGGAGCCACAGTGTGTAGCTAAGCCAGGTGCGGGGGCTGCCACGGCGCCTGCAGCGAGCAGCTGCCCCATGTGGGTTGTGGGCGCCACTCTAGACCGGGCCACAGTGTACAGTGGTGGGCTTCACTGACCGTCCACTTGCAGTTTAGAGCAGAGCACTTTTCCTGAGCACCAAGGTTTGCAAGAACTTGCCTGCCCCCAGCCCTGAAGTCAGCGCCTGGAGGGCGGAGGCTGCAGTGCCTTCCCCGAGCCTGGGAAAACTGTTACTGAAACTGGAGGAAGTGGTCAGAGAACCTTTCGCTTGCCCCACTCCCTCAGCAGACTATTTTTCTTGTTCCATCTTTCCGGGATGGAAGAGACCGAAAGTGGAAGCACACTTTTTATTTGAAACTGCTAGGCTGCAGTGTGAAAGAGACCAGGCTGTGGGCCTCTGCTTTGCAGGAAGTTGGACTGCATGGTTGTTTACCAGGCTGTTTGTGTCTGTCTGATTTGTCTGTATCCAGAAAGCATCAGGACTCCAAAAAGGAGGAAGAAAAGAAGAAGCCCCACATAAAGAAGCCCCTTAACGCGTTCATGTTGTATATGAAGGAGATGAGGGCGAAGGTCGTGGCTGAGTGCACCTTGAAAGAAAGTGCGGCCATCAACCAGATCCTTGGGCGCAGGGTAGGCAGCCTCTCTGAGGGAGGGGCGGCTCCCATGGCGAAGTGTCCCTGCTCCCCCATTGCCTGGAGAGTCCTTTTCCCTCAGCCGCGCCCCAGAGATGACAAATCTGGTTTTGTCCAAGTGCCCCTGTTAGTGCCAGACACCATCGTGTCTGCAGGGGAGGCAGCTTGTGACATCTCGTGCGTCTCTCCTCCGCCCTGTGTCCCCTCCAGTGGCATGCACTGTCCAGAGAAGAGCAAGCGAAGTACTACGAGCTGGCCCGGAAGGAGCGACAGCTTCACATGCAGCTCTACCCCGGCTGGTCTGCAAGGGATAACTATGTAGGTGGACTGTTTTCTTGGTGACTTAGCCTATCAGGGGATGGTGTGTGTCTGTGCCCACAGAAGGGATGGTGACTGCCAGCTGGAATCAGGCTACAGGGCCATTCATTGTGTCAACCTCTGGGGGCTCTCAGTCTGCATCAGTCTTCTGTGGGGTGGGAAGGTGATGCACCGTCCCAGCTCAGGGCTCTTGAATCCATTAAGGGCTGTGCGTACCTCCTTCCTTGCCCACTCTTTAGAGGTAGCAGGGCTCTGGGATACACCCCAAGGGGCCTGGGTTCCACATTAGGAGCAGCAGTTGGCAGTGTGGCTTCACATAGAAGACCATATGTAGAGTTGGAGGAAGAGAGCTGAACTGCTCGGCTCTTCATTAGGACCCACACCTGTAGAAAGGGCAGTCAAGACATTTGGCTTTAGTGTAGTGGAAGTTGGTACCTGCTTCCTCCTGAAAGGGGCATGATAGGAATTTCCCTGAAGTAGCCTGTACAAGTCATCCTTGGCAGGATGGATAAAAGGACCCTGCCCCATGGAGCTCGGAAAGGTGTGCTATATGATGTTTATCTTCAGGCTTTGTTTGGCCTAAAGGATTTGCCTGATTTTCCCTCTTGCCTTTTAAAAAGCACCCATCATGAGACGTTAGTTTTGCACCAACACCCATGATTCCTCTCCCTATACCAATGATGGCAAACCTTGTAGAGCTTTCAGTGATCACAAATGGCCAGCTGCAGCATGCATGCATAGGTTCGCCACTGCTGCTCTAGATGGGTGGAATGGCTGTAATTTCATACTTTGCTACATGGTGTTTGCTTTCATGAAGCAATTTTGAGATCACCCTGAGGAGAACCAAACATCCTCCGACGTGGGCTTCCCACTCCTGCTTTTGGATCCTGGTGCCTTGGAGAGCCATGATACCCATCAGTGCTGTGGGCTTTGCTTTCCTGTCGGCAGCATCCCTGGTGCAGGGCAGATTGAGGTGGTTAAATTTCACCCACGATGAGCCCTGGGCGTCCAGGGTGCTGTGCGGGTCCAGAGTTAGGATGAGCGTTTCTGCTTTCAGAGTCTGCTGTCTTAACAGGAAGTGCCCAACAGCTGCGTGATCTCGGGGCCCCGAGTGAGAGTGGCTCTGCTTGCTCTGACTCGTTTCCTCTATCCTCTGACCTCCAAACACATGACAGCTCGTGTGCTTTTCGCTGTGTTGCGGGGGCAGAAAAGAGAAGAGAGAGGAGATGCTGGGCTTCTCTGCCATGCCCCCTCCCCCCCTGCCCCACGGCCCAGATAGGAAGCGCTCCTAGTACCATGCAATGGCTCAGTCACTCTGTCAAGAGCCCTTGCTGCCCATGGCCAGGTGTCATTGGCTGACTGCTGGGGACCTTTCCCTCGGTCCTTGGCATGTGAACAGTGGGGAGCCTTTCTTCTGAAGCTGAAAGGAAGAGGAGAGAAGGCACCCACCCTCCTGCCTGCCCCCAAGGTGGAGCTTCCCAGTGGCCGGCTCCCGCTCAGCCTGCACACCCAGCATGTCACTCAAGGACAGCTGCTCTAGCGGGTTAGGGTCATGAGCTCCTAGGGTTCATCTTTGGCTTCTGCCATTCTTGGGTGAGCTAGAACAGTACCACAGAGAGGAACTTGCTTCTCAGAGCAACCAGATCTCCAGTGGACAGTTTGGGTCACGGTGGGCCAGCTCTCCTCAACCCGAGGGTGGGCATTTGCAGTATGTTTACATGAATGGCGCCCCCTGGCGTTGTGCAGTGAAATCCCTACATGGGAACCAGACAGACTCGATAGATAGCATCACACGAGTGCTTTGACTTGCCTCGGAGTCATTTGGACAAAGTGGTAACTGAGGCTCTCTGGGATGTGCTCTGGATTGCGGAGGCACTTGGCCTGGCTTCTCCTCAATTCTGTATTCAGAAGGTGGGTCACTGTAGGAGTGGGACACCCGAGAAGTCCCAAGAAGACTCAGAAGTAGGTTTGGAGGTGGAGCCGGTTCAAAGAATGTTGTCAGACTCCTGCTTTGATAGCCTGTAGCACGTAAGTGTGAACACACACTCACACCTCCCTTTTGTGTCCCAGGGAACAGTGACAGAATTGAAGGTTTTATGGTTTTGATTGTAGTAGAAGAAACTTGTATTTCTTTCTAGCCTTTTTTTTCTTTTTCTTTTTTGAGACAGGGTCTTGCTAAGTTGCCTGGGCTGGGCTCAAACTTTCTATCCTCCTACCTCAGCCTCCCTGGAGTGCTGAAATGACAGGCAGGTACCACCATGCCTGGGTATTATTTCTTTTCAACTGATTTGACCTTGGAGATTTTGCAAATTACTTTGGTCATTCTTAAGCCCGAGAGTGTTCTAGAAAATGTTTTCCAAGCTAACCTCGTGCTTCTTTGACTTCTTGCTCTTTCAGCCAAACAGTGACAGAAGACTGTTTCTCACTACCTGAGGAAAATAGGATTGAGTCAGATAGTTGCGCCTGGCTTATCAGACTGGATACCTTCTTTAGGGCCCAGGAAAAGCATTTTTAGCACAGTAATAGCTCACCCTTGGTGTCACATTAGAGCATTATTTTCTTTCTGACTCTGCAACTTTGAGTAAAGGAGATAAGTCCTGCACCACTTGCTCCCTGCCCTGTGGTAGGCCTTAAGTTTCAGGCAGCGGTATAGCCATCTCCTTCAAGCCTCAGTAGTGTTTAGCGGTGTCCCCGTGTCCTCTTGCTGTTGGTACCCTTTCCTCTTGAAGCCAAGCCTGCTCTCTGAACAGCCATGTTCCCTTTGTATCCCGAGCAGCAGCACCCACACACTGTTTCATGAGGAAGAGGAAGTGGATTGACGTGATGTCCCGGAGAACAGGGCCTGCATTTCTGTTGAACTTTACTCCGGCCCCTGAATCAAGAGAGCGAGGCGGCTCTTGGCTCTGGGCTTTTGCCTGCTTTGACTGCACACTAAGGCACATAGCGTGCTAAGCAGACGCACTACCAAGAGGCCAGAACTCACCCCGGCGGCACCTCCTGGGATGTTCTAGGGTGGGTGCTCGCAGCCAGCCATGCAGCCCGCCCTCCAGGGGTCTCCACTGCGGGTCCTTGTGAGCCCAGCTCATTCTCAGGGTTTCTGCCCATTATGGTGCTTTTCCCTTCAGCGTCCATGTCACTGTACAGTGAGAACCTTCTGGCAGAGGCAGCATTTAGATGCTATGGGCACATGGGAGTACAAGACCTCTACCCTGAAGTCATCCCAGGCAGCAGAGGGAGCCGAACTTCACACCTAGAAGACGAGGCCGCTCCAGTGTGGGTCCCCATGCATAGCTCCTGCACACTGCCAGGTGTCTGGGAGGCTCAGTGTGGAGAGGGCAAATGAGTCTGAGCAGTCCATCCCCGTGGTCAGTTAAATCAGCTTCCCGCAGGACCAGGCGGTGGCTAGTAGGTGGCAGATCCTGTGATGGAGGCTGCAGTGAGGAGACCACTGTGTTCTCACTCTGGCCCGCCTCTGGCTAGCTGTGCTGATTGCTCTAGGGATGGTACCTAACCCTCTGCACCTCAGTTTCCTCATTCATAAAATTGGGATGGCAATTTGCTGCACAGGGTTTGGGGGAAGAACAAATGAGTCGATTTGCAGAACACACCTGGCATCATGCCTGGCACTTGGCATGGTGCTCAGCCAACGCTAACCGTCTGGGGTGTGCTCTTGTACTCACTGTGGGTGGGGGTGGTGTGACTTAGGGCTTTTCAACACTGTATCATAAAAAAGCCTTCGTGTGAGGCGATTTTGCCCCCCTGTGGGCCAGTGAAAGCATTCTGAGCACGTTTGAGGAGGACTGGGCTAAGATGTGATGTTCCCTAAGTCAGGTGTATTACATGCCTTTTCAGAGTGTGGTATTTTTCATTTTTGATGGGTCTCTTGGGGTACCACCCCATGATGGGTGGAGGGGCATCTGTATGAGACATGGGAAACTACTCCTATGGATGTCCCCCCAACAGTTTGTAAAGGAGCCCAGATAATTCTAGTTCTGTCACCTCCCCCAACTTTGAAAACACGTGCTGCAGCTCTGAGAAGCCCCTGCCACAGCTGGCATTTTCTTAATACAGAGAGGGGACGCTTCGCTTCGTGAGTGAGACTTGAGTGGGTAAAGAGGGGTAGTTCCCTAAGCGTCTCTGACCATCACAGTATCCCTTTGCCCTCAGAGGTCCACTTGGACCACTTCCAGCTCGGATGCTCCTCCTCTCTGTGAACGTGGCTGCTTGGGGTCAGGCTTGAGCATGGGTGGAGGTCAGGCACAGGTGTGAAGAGCTCTTTCCTTCACCACCCTGGCCCTTCCTCTTCTGCCAAGACCTGTGCCCCTCCGGCCTGGCACTGTCCCAGCACATTGAGGGTAAAGGGGGCGGGACAGTCCCTTCTCTGCCTTCTCCTTCCAAGTGAGCCCAGATGCCCACCTCCTGGCTGTTGATTGGACTAATTCCCTGCTTTTCATTTGTTCATTTAGGGGAAGAAGAAGAAGAGGAAAAGGGACAAGCAGCCGGGAGAGACCAATGGTAAGTTCCAGTACTCAGGGTGTTAGAAGCAGCAGTAGGTGGAGGGCCACTCCCATGTCAGCTTCCATCTGGGGGAGGCAGGAGAAATTCAAGGCCAGGACACTGTGGGGGAACCCATCTTAGGCAGCCTTTTTGTTTATGCATTTTAATTAATTGCTTCACGACTGCCCTTTTAAAGCTAGTAACATCCATTGTTGCATGAAAAGCACATTGTAATTCTAGTGGAATGTGTTTTTAAATAACTGCAAAGCCTTTAACTGGAGAGCGAGCAGTAGGCATGCCTCTGCTGGGCTGTAGACAGTCTGCTTATTTTGTATGTGTCTGAGAAGGGGTGAGGAGGGGCCTAGGGGAGTAGGCGGGGTGTGTGAGTGTGGGTATTAACTGGGCTGTTCCTGAATGTTTGATGCATGCCTTTACAGTGGTAAATTGCACCTATCTTAAATTAAGGAGGTTTGTCATTCTGTAGAAGAAATTAGAAATACTGCATAGGCAATCTCAGGTCCCTTGGAGAAGACCAGGCTTTTACAAACAAACAAAAATTTTGAAGGCTTTGTATAATTTGTTCTTTTTTTTCAGAACACAGCGAATGTTTCCTAAATCCTTGCCTTTCACTTCCTCCGATTACAGGTGCTAATGTCATTTTGAGTCATTCAAATAGTTGATAAACTGTTTTTTTTTCTTGCCATTATAATTTTATTAACATTAAACACGTATGACATTTGAACATTCTTTAAAATGACCATCTACACGGTTTCATATGTTTTGGTAGATTTTTTTTTCAGTTGCTTTTGTTGCTTTTTGAATTTAATTTAACTTCTGTTTCGTTTATTTATTTTTCCCATAACAGTTGTTTAAGCAGCAATGACAGTGATTTAGAGCTGAACTAACTGTGCAAATTGAATATGCAGTATTTCTTTAAAAGAGACTGGTAAAGAAAAAAAAATGGAAGGAATTCAGTCATAAACCTCCTTAATCTAATGGCATTTTTTTTTTCATTGCTCCCACTAAGTTTCTCATGCAAGCATGCATCCGCAGTATGATTATTTTTTCCTTTGCTTTTTTTTATTTTACTTTTTTTCGTCCTTTTGCTTTTCTGCTCATAATTTGCAAACCCACTTGCATTTTACTGACTCTGCCTGCTTCAGTGCTGCTGTGAGCTTCTAACTAATTCCTAACAGCTCGTTCACACAGCCTGTGTACCTCCATCTGTTCCTCTCCTAATATTAATGAAAATAGATAAACAGAAAAGATAAACATTCCAAAAGCTGCAATATCCCAATACCACAACCCTTTTCTTTCTTTATTTCTTTCTGTTTCATTTTGTTTCATTTTGTTTTATTTGTAGTTTTTTTTTCTTTTTTAAACTGTTACACTCTGAGAAGAAAAAAGCATGTAACAAACTTAATTCCCTCCTTTGCTTTATTTTCTTCTTTAAGAAAGAGAAAATTGTGAGGCAAAAAAAAAGGAAAGCAGAACTAAAAAAGAGGAAAAAAATTGAAAAGAGTGCGTTCTTCAGTATCTAACTTCCCTTGGTCAAGTCTAAGACACAAATCTAAGACACAGTCCTTAAAGAAGGGATACTGCAGCTTTATTTGCAACAGCTAATTTCACAAATTGAATAAGAATGTGATTTTTACCGTTTTTTAATTAAAGAAAAGTTAAAAAACGAAAGTCAATATTTTGCCTTTAGTAACCAGGTCATTGATTTATTCCCTTTTTTATTTTTATTTTTTTCTTATTTGTATCTCTCTCTCCCCC